TAGTAAATACAGTTTACATTTAATAATATCATCTCAAAAGGACACATTAAGACAGAATTTGAAAATATTAAAAATATGTAAAACCTAATAAGTCATTCTAATAAAAATGTGAAGGAAATTAAAAAGAATTTTGTAAAAATTAATCGAATTTTTTTTTTTAAGACAATAGTATCCATAATATATCTAACTAGCTGTAGAGCCCGGCGTTGCCCGGGGATGTAACAGTAAGAGATAGATCAAGTATCCAACATCATAAAGACTGAAAAATAAAATTGACAAAGATTATTGTTTAAGGTTGACGGACACGCATGTCTTAATTAGTTTTTTTTTTTTTTTTTTTTTTGGGATTTTGCTTTATTTTACGAATTTGTCAAACCCAAACTCAAAGAAAAACATTTTTTTCAATCGTTATGAGTCTACCGATTGAATAGAATTTTATTATAAACAATTGTCTTGTAAATGGAATTTTTAAAGCATTATGAATGTAAAAATAAAGAAAAAAGTGTGCAAGACAATAAGAAACACTACCTGCCAAAAAAAAGTGAAGTTTTGTTGAAATCGGTTGAAAAATGTAGGAAATCCGATCCCATATATAAACACAGACACACACAAACAACCTGGGTTTTATAATAAGTATAACTCGATATTCTGGGGACTTAATCGTGTTTTCAAATTGATTTCGTGCAAAAACAATTGTGTTTTTCCAATTTTTGGCGCTGTCAGAAACACTGCAAGGTAATGTTATGTAGTCCTGTGAAGTTTTGTTGAAATCGGTTGAAAAATGTTAGCAATCCGATCCAATATATAAACGTACAGACACACACAATCTGCGTTTTATAATAAGGTAGATTCATAAAAGAAATTTAAAGCTTTTCTAAGTAAATTATTTCTTAGTGTGATTTCAATTTTATTTTACGATTCAGAGATTCCCTATATGAGTAACTGTTTAAAAAAAACGTGATTTATATTCTCCAAAGAGTCCTGCTTTTAAATAAGCACACACACACACACACACACACACACACACACACACACACACACATATATATATATATATATATATATATATATATATATAAATCATCCATTTTTAAATAACAGAAATATGTATCTAATTTCTGAAAATTTTATTAATGAAGTAAGTGGGAGTAACAGATACAAAAAAATATCTACCAAGATTTTCTCAAAAAGAAAAAGTTTTTAAAATAATTTAATTAATCCGACATTTATATAATTTTTGCAAGAATTTCCAAATCAATGTATTTTTTATCGCAAGAAAAAACCTAAAATTCTCTAAGCTAATGCTTACTGCTCGTGCTGACGCGAGATAAACAAGATTTTTAACCAAATTTTCGAAAGCGCTAGAAAGTATTCAAAAATTTAATAATCAGAATATGCTTTAGATTTCCTCTTAATAATAAAATAAAAATTTAGACGAAAAAAAACTTTGTTTTTATTAAGGTCGGTGATTTTTTCATCATGCTATGCTTTTTTTTTTTTTCAAAGAGTTATTGGTGTACCTGTATTAAAGGAATACGGCTGTTTGTAAAGGCATCCCTAATTTTAAAGTGTGATTCAACGACTACATATTTGTGTATTCGAGAGTCTTAATGTTGTGGTGTCTTCCCTCTAATGAGGCTATTGTAGACTCTTCCACTTATTCTAAAGTAGTAGGAAAGTAAGTGATATAGACTGTTCTACCAAGGTTGTGTCTGTTTGGAGCTCCTGTCGAACTGTCTGCCTTGGGCAGAGAGGAACCCGGACAAGGCTGTGCCGAAGGGCAGAGTCTCGTTCGAGGAGGTAGACAAACCAGAACCCATTTATTCGGGTTCTACGGAGATTTTTGGGCCGAGCCTACGAGTTCGGATGACCTACGTTAAACTCGGCCTTGTGCCACATATATCACTCGTGGGTGGGGGGCTGTTAAATATTAACAGTGATATAGAGTGTTCTACTGAGGCTGTTCGCAGCTCCTGTCGAACTGTCTGCCTTGGGTAGAGAGGAACCCGGACGAGGCTGTGCCAAAAGGCAGTCTCGTCCGGGGAGGTACGTAGACACAAACCCGTTTATGCGTGTTCTACGGGGATTTTTTGGCCGAGCCTACGGGTTCGGATGACCCACGTTAAACTCGGCCTTCTGCCACTTGTACACTCATGGTGTGGGGCTACTAAATATCAAGCGTGATAAAGACTGAACGCAGGTCAACCGACACACACTCCCAATCGTGTAACACTCTTCTGTTGTATTTATTGTTCAATACACTATTTATCTGCTACCTTTTATTTTGTTATTTCTTGACCAATCACTTGATCACAACGCTTAATAATGTCAATTTGCGTTCCGGTAGAGTTTCACTCTGTGTTACTCTTATTATTTGGGGAGTCTGACTTCGGAGAAGCAACAAAATTATTTTATTTCTAAACCTACACGATCAGACTTGATAGTTGATACAATGCTTCAAAAAATTAGTTTATCGTGTCATTTCCCGGCCAATGTCACTAAATTAAATGTTTTAAACCGCGTTTTCTACAGATGGATGCTGAGCATACAATGGACGGAACATTTGAGCAACAACGAAGTTTTAGAAAGAAAAGGAAACAAAAAGGACACAAGCTTAGACATCAGAAAGTAACAGTTGAAATTTCTAGAACATATGATGAAGAAAAGCGGATTAGATAATTTGATATGCAGAGGAGTTACTGAAGGCAAGATAGAAAGAGAAAATTAGCGTGTAACCTACATAAAAAGATTGACACAACCGGCATTTTCAGATTGAGTGTCACGAAGAGGAAAATGTAGAGGGTGATGTTCACCCACTTCCTGAAGGGACACGGCACACAGAAGAAGAAGAAGAAGAAGCGGGAGGAGGAGAAGAAGAAGAAGGAGTAGGGGGCAAGGAGAGTATGGAGGGAAGAGAAGAAAATGTATGAATAGAAGGTGAAGAAGAAAATGATGATGACGATGATGATGTCTATGAGTCAGTATGACGAAGAAAAAGTTAAAGAAAGGGAATGATTAAGAAGAAGAATAAGAAGAAGAGGAGGAGGATAAGGAAAAAGGGTGGAAGGAGAGTGTGGAAGGAGTAGAAGGGAATGATTAAGAAGAAGGACAAGAAGAAGAAGAACAACAACAAGAACAAGAAGATGAAGAAGAACAAGAAGAACAACAACAAAAGAAGAAGAAGAACAAGAAGAAGAACAAGAACAACAACAACAACAAGAGGAAGAAGAAGAAGAGGAAGAACAAGAAGAACAAGAAAAAGAGGAAGAAGAAGAACAAGAAGAAGAAGTAGAAGAAGAACAACAACAACTACAACGAGGAAGAAGAACAAGAAGAACAACAACAACAAAAAGAAGAAGAAGAAGAAGAACAACAACAACAACAAGAGGAAGAAGAAGAGGAAGACGAAGAAGAACAAGAAAAAGAGGAAGAAGAAGAACAAGAAGAAGAAGAAGAAGAAGAAGAAGAAGAAGAAGAACAACAACAACAACAACAAAAGGACAAGAAGAAGAAGAAGGAGAGGAAGAAGAAGAAGAAGAACAAGAAGTAGAAGAAGAACAACAACAACTACAACGAGGAAGAAGAAGAAGAAGAGGAAGAGGAAGAAGAACAAGAATGTATAATACAAATATTTTTTGGAAAAACATTTTTTTAAAATAATTTTTGCTACTTCCTTCTTAAAAAATGGTAATTTTAAAGTTAGCTAAAAAATATTTTCGTATTTTTTTCTTTTGCTCAGCGATTTTATGATGGCAATGGTAAAAATAATGACAGTAAGTAAAAAAAAAATATTGAAAATTCAAAGACATTCTAGAGAATTGTCTGAAGTGAATGAATAAAAAGTTTTACCAAGTTTTTTTGTACACGGTCTGACAATAACCTAAAAAAGGAAGATAAAAAAATAAATACAAATAAAATATGTCTGCAGCATAAGTGTCATAAACCAGAATTTGTCTGGAATCCTTTGCAGCCTGTTTTTTTTTTCTTTTTTAGACAGTTTCTTTATTTCCTAATCTATTTTTGATACATGAGACCGAATTTAAATTTATGTCGTAAACAATAAATGTATAATAAAGGATCGCTTATGTAGGTTTTTTTTAAAGTAAAGTACAGTCAATAAAAGGATGGAAAGTCTGTAATTGTTTTCTTTGTGAGAAAAAGGAATATATGTATAAAAAAGGGACGATTTAAGAGATGGTAGCACGTATATGTTTAATGTCCGCCTCAGAAAATGGAAAATAATCTTGAAAATTTTCATTTGTACCCACTTACTTCTTTAAAGAAATACCTCTATTAAAATAAAATAATGTAATTAATCCGACATTTATATAATTTTTTCAATCAATGTATTTTTTACCACAAAAAAAAGCTAAAATTCTCTAGTCTAATACTTACTGCTCGTGCTGACGCAAGAAAAACAAGATTTTTAACAAACATTTTGAAAATGCTAGAAAGGATTCAAAAATTTAATAATCAAAATATGCTTTACATTTCCTCTTAATAATAAAATAAACATTTTGACGAAAAAAACTTTGTTTTTATTAAGGTCGGGGCCTCTTTTCATCATAAAAATTTCATTTGTACCCACTTACTTCTTTAAATAAATACCTTTATTCATATTTATGATGTTTATTGCAATATTTCGTTAAACTTGTAAATCTCAGATATTTAACGATGCAATATAGGGACTAGCCCAGCTGTTACATAGTCTTGATACCAGCAATTGATTGATTCTGTTTTTACGGTTTATTAACCCTTTGCAGGTTATCTAAAGTTAGAAAATATTTTTAAAATCTAAGAATATATTTTTGAGGTATTTATGATTCAGTGGAATAAGTCTTCCGAATTAACCCACACCTGGGGGAGAAGAGATGAATTCTTACCTTTCCCAAGGGTATTCGTGCGTAACTGAATATAAGGAGCCAAACGGGAATTGGAACTCCTCTCTCCGATTTAGAACTCTGAACTATTATCCATTACACCACACGCTCATATACGTTTACATCAGCTGCTATTTCCAAACAGCTACCCATCTAGGTACTGACTAAGCTCAATGTTGCTTAACTTCGGTGATCGTACTGGAATCGGTGTTTCAGCGTCATATGAACGAATGAAAGATGAAGTGACTATACGGAAGATTGATTACTGTTTCTTTAGTTGTTTCTTGATTGTGTAGCTTAGTTATGGGAAAGTGGTTTGCCAATCGTGTCTTTTCTCTGTTGGAGATGATAGGTAAACAGTGACGAGAGAGAGCCTAAAATATCTAGCAGATGTTCAAGATATCTAGCAGATGTTCAAGGTATCTGGTAGATCCTCAGGATACCTAGCAAATGTTCAAGATATCTAGCAAATGTTCAAGATATCTAGCAAATGCTCAATATATCTAGCAAATGTTCAAGATATCTAGCAAATGTTCAAGATATCTAGCAAATGCTCAATATATCTAGCAAATGTTCAAGATATCTAGCAAATGTTCAAGATATCTAGCAGATGTTCAAGATATCTAGCAAATGCTCAAGGTATCTAGCAGATGTTCAAGATATCTAGCAAATGCTCAATATATGTAGCAGATGTTCAAGATATCTAGCAAATGCTCAATATATCTAGCATGTGTTCAAGGTATCTAGCAAATGTTCAAGATATCTAGCAAATGCTCAAGATATCTAGCAAATGCTCAAGGTATATAGCATATGTTCAAGATATCTAGCAAATGCTCCAGATATCTAGCAGATGTTCAAGATACCTAGCAGATGCTCATGAGATCTAGCAGATGATCAAGCCGCAGAGAAGAATAGTCTTGTTTCCATTCCAAAAGGATTACCGTGCAATAAGACACACGCACAAACACAAAGCATGTTCGAATCCTGCCGTAAGGCTCTTTTTTTTCTTTAATAAGATTAAATTATATATTCATGCCGAAAGACGAAAATATGAGGACGTATTAAAAATAAGGATTAAACTGATACAAATACGTTGGATTTATAAATAAACAGGCATTAATTTGTTTACAGGTCGGTTATGAAACTGAGCAGATATGGACAGTGGAAAATCTGGAACGAAGAATCGAAGAAAAAAAGGCGCTAATGGAACACGAAACCTTGACTTCTTATTTCGATTTCTGTAAAAACAAACAAGTGATGCGTAGAAATTATATTCAAATCAGTAGCGTGATCTTAATTGCAATATAGCTGTTAAGAAAGTCGCTTCGCTATATCGTGTGCGTGTAACTCGTGTTACGACTATGGTTATCCATTCATAAGATTTACCATTATATATATATATATATATATATATATATATATATATATCATATATATTATAAAACCCAGGTTGTGTGTGTGTGTGTGTGTGTTCGTTTTATATATTGGATCGGATTTCCTGTTTTTTTCAACCGATTTCAACAAAACTTCACTGGACTACATAACATTACCTTGCGGTGGTTCTGGCAGCGCGAAAAATTGGAAAAAACACAATTGTTTTAGCATGAAATCAATTTGAAAACACGATTAAGAGGCATCGCTGTCGAGAATGAAAGGGGGACAACTCATATCGAGTTATACTTATTATAAAACCCATGTTGTTTGTGTGTGTGTGTGTGTGTGTGTGTGTGTGTCTGTGTTCGTTTATATATGGGATCGGATTTCCTACATTTTTCAACCGATTTCAACAAAACTTCACTTTTTTTTGGCAGGTAGTGTTTCTTATTGTCTTGCACACTTTTTTTCTTTATTTTTACATTCAGAATGCTTTAAAAATTCCATTTACAAGACAATTGTTTATAATAAAATTCTATTCAATCGGTAGACTCATAACGATTGAAAACAATGCTTTTGTTTGAGTTTGGGTTTGACCAATTCGTGAAAAAACAAAAAAAAAAAAAAAAAAAAACTAATTAAGACATGCGTGTCCGTCAACCTTAAAGAATAATCTTTGTCAATTTTATTTTTCAGTCTTTATGATGGTCGATACCCCGGGCAACGCCGGGCTCTACTGCTAGTATATATATATATATATATATATATATATATATATATATATATATATATATATATATATATGTATGCATAGTGTTGTTTGGTGAGCTTGTGGTCCGTGGTACACCAGGTCTCTGTATTGGGCCCTTCAAAAATCGTGGTTGCTTCTGCACAAAACCTTCACGATTATAATCAAATCATATGTGCTGGTGTCTGACTTTCGGCTCCTAAGAAGCGAGCTGCTTGATCCTCATACGTCGATAAACGACGTGAGATTCCACCATATAAAGAATCACAATTATATAAACAAAAACTCGAAATTCTTCATTTGAAAGTACAATTAAACAGTAGAATGTTTGTTAGCCAATTAAACCTTTCCGTAAGTGTTTACATGTAAGCAACATTTTAGTAGATGTTTACATGTACCAAACGCTTCAGTTCATTGCGCAATAAAAACATTATATCTTTATTTATTTCTTTATAGAATTTCGGCGTACATGGCACTTAATATGACCGTTGATTAAGACAACCTATGAAATTGAATACTAGCCTCAAGTGTCATATATTATATGTCTATATATCTATGTGTGTGTGTGCGTGTGTGTGTGTGTGTGTCTGTGTGTGTGTGTGTAACACACAATGTGTTCATTTTGTACCGGGTGTCACAGAAAGTGCCAAATATAAAAATGTTTTGACTGTGTGTGTGTTTTTTTCGGATCTCAATATAGTTTATTCAATTACGTATGTTTTACTTTCATAAATAGACATAGCAGCACAGATGTTTGCGTTCATGTGCACTTTAAGAATATATATATATATATATATATATATATATATATATATATATATATATATATATAGATAGATAGATAGATAGATAGATAGATAGATAGATAGATAGATAGATAGATATTGTTGTGCGCTTGTGTAAACGTTATACTTAGTGGGTAAACGTGTTTGAATGGAAATCTAGAAAGGATTAAAAAAAAAACATTAAAATTAATGTCAGCTGGCCTCAATATCGAGAAGTCCGAATGAAAAAAGAAGCCCCCTTCCCGACAGGAAACGGAACTGAATGCCATTTTTCCCTGCGTCGTAATTATATTCAAATAATTACCGTGGTCTTTATTGCCAAATAGCTGTTGAGAAAGTCGGTACGCTATGACAGATGAGATAATTTTCTCTCCAGAAACTATCTTACATAAATAGGCAACATATATTCATTCAAACATGTTTCATTGATTAATATAAACATATTGTGTCTATTTATTTTTTTACTGATCCTTCCCAGCTCATTAGTCAGTTACTTGATCAAGTAAGGCGTCGTAGTTTTTGCCTACCCATGTACTTTTGATCTCTCCCAAGATCATCCTCATGAGTGAATTACAAAGACAAACTTATTGTAACTATGATAAAATCTGTTTTTCGTTGCGCTGGTAACTTAAAAAAAAAACACACGTGAACGCACATTGTTATATTTATATATATTTTTTAAAAAAGAATTATCCGTTGTAGCTATGAATGTTTGTGCAAAACAAGCGTTCCAATATGAAGCAGCTGATCAAAAATGTATAGCATGCAAAATTGCAGTGTTATATGCACTTCAAAACGTTGCTGCTACACTAATACTACATTTTGTTGAGTGTTGGTTGGTTGATCTTGATATAGAAACCCTCGAGAATTTGAAGTTTTGCTTATTATTTTCATGGTGTAGTATATTGGTGCTGTCAACAAGTATTTTACTGTATTTGGAAGGTAAACAGGAATGCGTTTTTAGATGTTGTACAACAGAACTTGTATCCGACGAATGTAGTGTACGACGTCTTGATAATATCAATATACATACTTTTTTTTTTTGCCAGAGATTCAATCTCCCAAAAGACATTTCAATTGATATACAATGTAGGTCTTTACCAAAATAGTAGTTGACGGAAAAGAATTATTGCACATGATTAAGTATATATATATATATTAAGTATATATATATATATATATATTCTAGAAAGAAAATTCGGATTGCAAGTTACACACAAACAGAATGTCTCATATCGAGAATATTCCACATTGAACATGAAGAAAAAAATTAATTATTTTTAATAATATGTAAAAATCTCCACTTTCACCTGAAGACGGTTGCGAGACCAGACCAGAAACACGTGTCGTGAAATTATGTAAAACAAAGTATAATATTTTTTCTCAATTAATCCACATTACAACCCAAAACGTTTGCGGCACCCTCTTCTTTTTTAATATATATATATATATATATATATATATATATATATATATATATATATATATATATACGACTCTCCCGTCGAATTCGATGTATGAGGGTCAAGCAGATCAGTTTCTAGGAAACCGACAGCCCGACAACAGCACGTGAGATTTGATTATAACGGTGAAGGTTTCGTGCAGGACCATCCACACTTTTTGAAGGGCCGAATACAGAGATCTGGTGCACTACGTGCCACAAGGTCCCCAAACAAACCTCCGCAGGTTTTGAATTCAGAGTTGTCCTTCTCGTAGACCAGTTATATATATATATATATATATATATATATATATATATACAGTGGGGGAAATAAATATTCGTACACTTGAAAAATTATATTTTTATAAATGTAAAAGTCTTAAATAAAACAAATCTCAGCACATTTTATGTATAAAGACATATACTATTAAAAAATAATAATAAACTTAATTAATTCTTATTCTAACAGAAATTAATGCATTTTTTAATTCTAGCAAGTGAAAAAAGTATTCGTACAAATGAATTATTAGAATACATAATCAATTAATTATGAAAAAAGAATATTCTAGAATGTTCCAGTAATGTTATCAGTAATTATAGTTAACGCTATTAGCCATTATCAGAGCATTCTGCAATTTCTGGTCTTACGAGAAGGTTCTAATAATGCCTAAAGGTAAAAAATTGACTATTTCACAAAAACAACACATTTTGTCTCTTTAGAAAGATGGGAACAGTTACAGAACGATTTCTAACAACCTGAATATTCCTTTTACTACAATTGCTTCGTTCATTGCAAGGTTTAAAACTCGTAACAGCGTCGAAAACCAAAGACGAACAGGTGTTCCGAGGAAGATTTCTCTAAGATCAGCAAGGATATTAGG